TTTTGTAATAACGTAACATATATATTAAATAACATTTTTTTTACATTTACTCAAATTAATGTTTGTTTTTGTTAATGTATGTCTATGTTTTAATAATATATTCATAGATTAAATATTAGTCATAGTAATATATTTACTTTTAATTATTTGTGTAGTAATATAAATTATATTTACATCCATAGTTAATTATGTGTGTTGATTGATAAAGAAATAATACATAATAATTACTCCCACTATTAAATTTTTTCATACTTGGGGAGAAATATTTGTATTAATATTTAATTTAAAATACTTTTATTTATTTACTATTTTTAATTGTTAATTAGGGGTATATGTAAACAAAATTAAAAATATTACTTAACGTATGTAAAACATAATTTTTTTTAAAACAGTTGTATAATGGCCCATATGTGTGGGGAATTCGTCCCACTTTATTTTCTAATGCGTAATAATGTGACGTTTCAACTCAATTGTGTCTTTTCGCATGACTGTGTATAGATGTCGTTCAAATGCCTCATTTATTTTAATTTTTCATTTGCTAATTTAGATAACCCCAATACTAACTATGAGTACTCGTACTAACTATATGCCCAACACTCAAACCCTAACCCAGTGTCTTCTCTTCTGCTATATGACCAACACTGAAATCGTAATCTTAGTGTCTTCTCTTCTATTATAACCATGGTGCTATACCATATTTGAACATGCCCAACCAACGTTCGCAGGTATTATCATTCTGAGTTCCTTTTTTATTTCACATAACTCGTAAACCATTTACTTACACCTTTTCCATACTCTAATCCCAGAGTCCCACTAAACCAAGCCTATGAGGAGGCTAACTTCCACGTTGCACTTCGCAGTGAATCGATAAAAAATTGCTACATCCTTTACTTGTGTTATTCATAACTACACTATGAACAGTAACAATAATTTAGGGTTTTGATAATTTTTTTAAGGATACATTGAAAATTCCAAATTTCTTTTTCAACAAATGGGAAAATGAATTGACTAGCAATGTCATTGCTGAAGACCAATTCGGCAATACCTATCGAATTAAGGTTAACTTCTATAGCAAGCGAAACAAGGAATTGCTTTTTTCGATGATAGGACAAAAAAAATCGTGCAAAGCTATGCCCTAGAGAAAGCCAAGTTGATATTTTTTCAATATTTGGGTGATAGCAAGTTTGTTTTTACTGTCTGTGCGTGCTTTATTCCTATTACTCCACCAAATATGCTCTTTCGTCGCTCAATAATGTTGGCTTCTCATCGATTGCAATTAAGTACAATTTGAATTTTGAACTAAAATTTTGGTGATTTTTTTTTAATTTTTATTGTGCACACTTTTGGACCAAAGCTAGAGATTTAATGAATCAAGTCCAAGTGATACATGTGTTGAACATTTGAAATTCAAATATCAAATTTCAAATCACGAAAATTCAAATTTGAAGCCAAAAATTCAAAGGAATTCAAATATTATAAGAAAACCACTACACACAAAAGAATCCTAACTCTAGGAACTTGCTAATGATCTAATAGTAAGCACGAACTCAAATTTATAATCATGTGTGTGTGTGTGTACACACACACACATATACATATATATATACATATATATATACATATATATATATATATATATATATATATATATATGTATATATATATGGGTAGGATTTTAATGGAGCAAGCTACGCTATCCATGGGTCAAGAATGAATAATGATTGCTTAACTTGACTTAGTAGGCGCCTAAAATTTGAATTCAAATTTACATTCAAATTTTGGCTCTAACTTCGATGGAATCATGCCAAGGAGGACAAGAGGTGACACATTGAAGGACCCAAGAGGAATGAGTTAGTCTTGAAAATTTAGCTAGTTCAGAGTTCGGTGGGCTTAGTGGGCCTAAGTTTCTCTTCACATGGTTCATACTCTAAAATCTTCATTATACATTATTTGTGTGTATTATATTAGTATAGGTTCTCTACATTTTGGTCTTGTATTTTGAACCACATAGATTAGAGTTTTTGAGCCATAAGCTTATTGGGCCTGTTTTAGGGCTTAGTGGGCATTGAGTATTTTGGTACTCACTATTGGACTTATTTTACTTTTTTATTATTTCCTAGTGTTTAGGATAGTTTAGCCATTGTATTTAGGTCATTAGAATAAGATTTGAGAGTAAAAGATTAAGTAGGCAAAATTAGCAAATTTAAGTTACATTTAAGAGTAATTTGAGATGCATTTTCTTTATCAAAAAAAAAAAAAATTGAGATGCGTTTAGTGCACATGTACTAACCTAAGGATGGAAGAACATGATTAGCACAAATACATCTAAATTAACCTTAAATGTCACTTAAATGAAATAGTGCTACACATGGGACGAAAATTGGCTGCCAAAGAATTTGAAATTCAAATTCTATTTGAAATTCAAATTCTTGGCGCTAATTAAGACCACATGGAAGGTCGTGCCAATTTCACTCTAATTTTTCCTATAAATAGAACTCTCCTCACTCCATTGTACTCACTTTGAGTATTCTATATAGAGCATTTTGCATTTTGCACAATTCTCTCCCACTTGAAGTCATATTTTCACGCCTAGATCTAGGGTTCCTCACCTACCTTTGTGAGCAATCCTTTGCTCCTTTGACTTAGGTGCTTCCAAGTCCAGATTCTTCAGCAACTTTCACCTCATCTTCTTCTCCTTTTCACATCTAGAAATAGCTCAAGGAAGATCCAAGGAGCTTAGAGAAATTCTAAGGAGAACACGATCATCATTCTCCTAGATTTGCCATCAAACTCTCTCATGTGCTCCTAGATCCAAATGAGCTTATAAGACAATGTCATGTGGCAAACAAGAAAATTAAGTGTGACTTAATTTTCAATCATATATAATTTAGCATTTGATCATTTGAATTAATCTACTCCATGCACACCATGCCACTTGGTCGGCCACATGGGTAGCTTAATTAATTAATTCAAATGTAAATCAATAGTTCAAAGGCTAGTTGCATCTCCTAGGCCCAAAATTATACAAAAAAGAAAATACATGTAAATTCTTAATCTATTTGGCCCAAAAATATAATACCTAAAATTTAAGAAACATTATAGCAAGTAAATATTTTCAAGTATTATGAGGAAATGGAATTAAAGGCAACTCAAGACTCAATAAATAGCTTAAGTCTAGTACCTTCAAGTTTAACTCACTCTTTTTGACTCCTTTTGAATTGAACCTTTGGGCATAATTCTATCATAAATGTAGAATTAGGGTTAAAATGATACTTAGTGTCTCATAAATAGATATGTGATCTTATCTTTAAGTTTAAAGATATAGTTGCATGATTTTCGGATATATATTGGGATGGTTAGGTGGGGATGCCATGTTTGGTGACGTGATTCTTGGATGAGTTAGTGCATGTTCTGCTCAGCCTGATTGAGTTGGGTGATGCAAGTATGACATTATGACACATGAGAATCCAACACGTGTTTGAATATGGTTTTCATTTGGTCAAGGTGCCAGTTTATGGTGATATATTGCATGAGTTGGAAGCACAACGAAGGAGTTGTGAGCTGTTCCTCCTTCTTCATCGCCACAACAGCAATCCCTATTAATATAGGACCACGTTTCCTTTCTCCTTGCCTATCCTTCTTCTCATAATACATTCCTTTCTTCTCCGAGTCTTCGATTACCATCTTTCTGGGTTCTTCAAAGATCCCAGGTTTGGATTCATTCATATTTTGTTGGCTACTTAAATGTTCTTCTTGTTATATGTTTCTGAAATTTTGCTGAATCTTTTATAGCCCACATTTATTTAGTTTTTTTTTTTGTCTGCATGCATGGTATTTCTCTTTGCGTGTTTAATTTTAATGAAATTAATTTTTACCTTGTCTTGGTTTGTGATAGAACTTTGAGAATTTAATTTCTTTTATTAAATTGGGCTTTCTTAATTATCTTGTTTCTTTGGGACGGTAACTTAATTTGTTTTCTTGATGCACAATCAAATTATATTAATAACTTATTTTGGGGGTGAAAATCAAAATTAATTATATAAATAGGGTTGAGAAAAGGACACATGTCCAAGCTAGCCTTACAGGTTGCAGACATCTCTCTCTAGTGTGGGAGCTATAGATTGACAAAAGGAATAATTTGATTTGATGGATTTTACTAAGAGAGACCAAATGAATGTAAAAATCATATATTCCAGCAGGAGTAAACTTTACTCGTGAATTATTCCTTCACAAATTATATTTAATTATCCTTTTAAAAATTTTGCTTAGGGAAAG